TTATTTAAAGTTTTGATTTGTTGACTAATTGACATGTGCTTGAATTATACTTATAAATTACACTTCATCAAAAAAAAAAAAAAAAATCATTGAGATTTTTTTTCGCTTGTTAAAATGTATAAGATGCATTCTCAAAAAGTTGAATGGAGTATTAACATGCTTAGATTAATTAAAGGTACCGTAAATTCCAATAAATTAATTATTAATAAGATGATAATAAGAGATAGGAGGAGTAAATTCATGTTAATTATATATTCTTGGAAGAATGATGTGAATGGTGTTTGTGATTTACAGTTTCGGAATTTGCTTCTCCAGTCTACTGTCATTAGTTTGTCAATTAATATTTTTACCATATTTTTACCATGTCAACCAACAACTCCAACTCCTCTGATGACACCCTGAAAGAGTCTAATTTCATGCGTTGTTGAGACGATATGTGTTTTTAGAGGGTAGTCTGTCAATTCTAGTGTTCCCACTATAGTCCATTCATACAGGTCTCTAGCTCTGAGCAGTTACTTTCAGAAAAACGTTCTCCCATGCAAGGTCATGAATTGATTTTATTCTGTTCTCCCATGTGGCTGTGAACGAATACCTCCAAAAAAGTGGGACCTCCGGATGCATTATTTTGTTGACCACGGGTAGCATTGAGTTTTTCTTTTCCTCTTTGGTTCCTATTAGCTGTTCTTATATAGATATGGCTCTGATTTTACTTTACCTTTAAGGGAGTTATTTATCTCTAGTCTCTATTCATTATCTGTTGATTCTTTAATTTTGCGATTATTTGATTGGATTTTACTAATTATCAATACTTGATCGAATGTTACAGCAGCTTCCGCCTATTATCTTATTTTGGTGCCCATCGGCTGGTTGTTGAAATGCTCTGCAGATAATCTGAGTCAAATCTGCACATAAAATTCTAGATTAGTTTTACTTAATCCTTTTGTTACTCTATTTGCCCTGTCTTTGGTTTTTTCCAGGACGCCTCACTTATATCCCAACGTTCCAGCTTACTTGCTACTAGGGCTGGGCATTTTTCAACCGAACCGATTGTTTACCCGAAAACCGAACCGAAAAAATGAATTCGGTTCGATTTCAACGGTTTTCGGTTTTATTTTTTCGGTTTCGGTATTAACCGAATATATTTTGGTTCGGTTTCGGTTGAATCTCTTAAAAACCGAAAACCGAAAATAAAACCAAAATTAG